ACCCTCAAGTTAGACAACCTGCATAGAATGTGAGAGCAGTCGCTGGAACCACTGTCTAGGGCTGGCGCTGCGAGGTGCGGGTCGGACGGCAGGCAGAGGGCATGTTGGCGTAAGCTCTCCAGCATGCAGGACATGGGTGTGTTAAACGCAGCGAATTCCAGTGGATGCCGACTCAAACAAGTCTGCCAGTGAATAAGTTCACTGTCATGCGGACCCAAAAGATGGGATAGAATGCAGTGTCGATGACTCGGAATTTTGTCGATTTAGACGCAGAAGTGTTTTTGCGCTAAAATGTCTACGAATGAATAGCCAGTGATACCTTGGGCAACTGGAGCAGGGTACATCCTTAAATGGAGGGACGGATATTGGCATATTTGCTGAGCCGCACTTGCGGTACTGAGTTAGCATGAAAGCCGGACGCCTGTTAGGAAGTACTTTTCTGCACAGTGGATGCGTTCCGTCTAGGTGGGGAAGTATGCAAAGCCCAAGTTGAATCAAGTCAAGCTGTTGTCTGCCTAAGATTCAATGAGGGTCAAAGTACGCTAACGGAAGATGAAAGACGCCGGAAGGGGAAACTCGTTGTGCACGAAGTCTGAGCTGTTGCCTACAGCTGTCGGAACCAGGGTATGTGCTGACAGTAAGGCATTTCTGATGCAGAGGGAGTGAGTCCACAATGTCAGCTGTTTTCTCCGTTTTTGAGGGCAGTTTGAAGGGACTTGAGCCCACGTGGCGCGTTTCAACACTCAATGTGACGCATGGTTACGACAACCCGTCCCGGTTGGCTGGCATTCTGTCCAATCTGCTTCAAGAATGAAATACTAGAAGCGCTGAACAACCTCTCGTGGACATGAACAGCCTACTATGCGTTTCCGGCACGCAGTTACGAATGCGCGCACGCGTACACGCCCTTTCCAGTGAGATTGGGCAACTCTTTTTGGGAATGTGAACTTTCCCAACAAAACGAAACTCTATGAATCTTCCTTACCATTGAGCTGAGGTAATCAAGTTAACTCTATCTTGAATTTTCCCCCCTCCCCCTAAGACCGCCTCAAAACACGTGGACTCGCCTAACCGCCTGTCCAATGACTCCCCGGAGAAGACGGAAGGTGCCGAAACCTCAACTGATACTCCCAACAACGGTGCTTCCGTCGTTAAATTTTCTGCTGAAACGAAGCCTGATGATGAGTTGGAGGCGAACGAGCAATCCAGCGTCAACCAGCGTCTAAATGAGTACACGTTTTCGCCGTCAGCTCTTCAGAAAGTTGCCCACGGTGACGTCGATCTGGTCGCAAATAATCAATCGACAAAGCAGTAAGTTGTCTATTCGACGTGGTATCCTCCGGTCCTTCTTTGTCTGTTGCACAGCGGTGCTTGTACGGATTTTGAGTAATCGTCCTACCGTTGACCGACGAGTCCTCTTAAGTTATCCTGTCTTTATTAGTTCGCATCAGACTTGTGACAAGATTTTTGCTGAACTTCTGTGACATGCAGTTTCAGTAAGATAGCTATTCCGCCTTCCATCAAAGTTCATTTTGTAAACAGAAAGTTTTTCGTGTTTTTGGAAAGAAAAATGTTTTAGGTGTAATTTTAGGCTTATATACTATGTATGCCACAAGGACAAAGCCACGTAGGAGTCAAGCGTAAAAATTCGCAACAATTTTTGCCTGGATATTAAATTAACATCACAGGCTTAGGTTATTACATTTAGTCTGCAGCGCCATGCTCTCTCCTTCTGTCTGTCTCTGCTCAAACGCCCCTTCCCATCGACTCGCCTCCCTCAATTACCGTTTTTTCTCGACCTCCCAGCGTACGCTCGGGGCGTCGCTTACACAGCGCAAAACGACTCAATGAGCTGATTGTTGAGCGCTCTTCTTCGGCTGCCGCCGTTCTCATTAACCTTCCCATTCTACCGAAGAGGCCAGGCAACGAATATTACTATCTAGACTACGTGGAGACTCTCACCAATGGTCTTCAGAGAGTGATTCTCATTCGCGGCAGTGGTAGGGAGGTGGTGACCGCATTTGCAGAGTAAGAGTTCACTACTATGTGCTTCCCTACCTTCGCCTCTCATCTTTCTACCGCCTCTCAGTTTCGTCTTCTGCCACCCGCGGTATCTGTCAGTTTGATTATTAACCTGTTGATTCAGCTAAACATGCTGGACCTTCTGCTATTCGCCCACGGCGTCGCCTCGGAAATTGTTTCCCCTTCTCCCCCTCCTCACGCTCCGTGCGCGCACGCATTTACTCGTGCTCTTGAGTGTAAATTCTAGCGGGAATGGCGGGGCTGGTGCGGATCCGCATATGTACCATTTTGCTTTTCCGGCACCTTGCTCTTCCTGCCCACCCATTTCAACCTCCTATCACCACTTCACTGATAAACCACACTCTCAACTCTGTGTTTTGTGTACTCTCCGAGTCTACCGCCGCTGCCGCCGCCGTTGGTGCTATTTCTTATCCTGTAGGTGATTCACTCAATCGCCCCCCTCCCTCTCTCTCCTGCTGTATCCTCGTCCTCCTGTGGACTTGCTCACCGAGTGATCGACCACTCGCGCACCAGCCAGGCGTACCTGTTCGCAGCTGTGTCTTTTTCCGGTCACATCCAGGACTTGATGTGGCCTGGGGGGATGATTGCAGCCATGTGTTTCATTTTAGACATTTAGAAAATATGATACTGCGTTTGTAATTTCTTCATTTTACTCCAATTGTTGTCATTTTAGTAAATACAAACCACGCAGGACATATACTCACATAAGTTTATTTTTGGCGTTTGATTAGTACGATGGCTTTTGCGTACAGGGGACTCCTTAGTTTTTTCTGGGGCGCTCGTGGAGCGTTCTGTCCTGCGTAAATAATGATTACATTGTGCGCCTCGGTTGACCTGATCACTGACGATCGGTGGTTTTCAGAACTACACGCTCTGAGTATTTCCGCAGTTGCGTCGTTGATGGTAATACGCCCCATCCTGCGATCAAAGCTGCTGTCGGCATAGCATTGTATTTCACTAACAAGAAGATCTCTGCGAACGGAGGCTCTCCCGCCATTTAGCAAACACACGCAGCATCAACAGCCCAGTCTGTATAAAGGGGGCGTTACACAGCAATTTTACTCCAATGTCCCCTGAATATGCTAACCTTGGGGGATAGGAGGTTTGGTGCATGGGACGACAAAAAATTGGAATCCCAGCAGTGTCCTACGCGGAGTTGTTTTCACCACTACACGCGTTCGCTCTCGTCTTTCTGTTTACTGCGCTTCTCAGGCACATTTTTTTATTATTTTGACGACTGGACAGTGTGCAAGTTTCCAAGGTCGGAGTTACGGCAGTTCGACCGTCGATTCTGACGATGTCCATAGCAGGTTAGGCGCAGGGACGGTGACTAACGCGTGAGTTAGTTGATAGTGGCAGAAAGCTTTCGATGTATCTGTCGCACTCTCTCTCTCTCTCTTCCCCCACCCGGCTGGGCCCGGTGTCAGGACAGGATTGAGAAGACCGGGGGCGGGATCGGGTGTAGTGGCTGACAGGGCCAAACAGCCCGTCTGCACGTGTCGTGCGCCCCCGGTGCCCACACGATGGACCGGAATCGGGGTCATAATGGTGCCGAGTACCGCCTTATTTAAACACAAGTCGCGCTAACACCTTGGACAACCATCAAGGTTCCACGTTGGGAGGGTAGCCGGCAATTGTCATAGCAGCAACCGCCTGTCGTGGCTTTCCGTCTGGGGTCGTCCTCATCTGGATTAGGGGAGGGGCAGGGGCGTTGCGGTCGGACAATATAGTCGACTGAATATGCCCACTCTGTCGAGCATTCCGGCCACGTGAGGAGACAATCTGCCGTCAAACCATGGAACCGAAGAGCCCCTGCAACGATGCAGTGCCTTGAGTGTCGTCTGTCGGATTCAGAGCACATTTACCGAGATAAAATGAGTCTGAGTGCAATCTCATGTAGATTGGCACAGCAGAACAGTAGAAAAAACAGACCTGCCGTCCGACGGTGGGACTCTGAAACTTGATTGTGTTGCCATACTTCCGGCAGGGGCGGCAACCAAAAGCCTAAACACGCGTTTCGCCGATTTTTTGCCCCTGTAAGACGCTTGACAACGTACTTTCTAGTGCATCCTCCAGCATCCAATGTCAGACTTACGTTCCTCAGAAACTGACGCGGTAACTTGACGCAAAACCTTCGAGGTAAACCCTTTCAGGCTCGAACCGAAGGCGAAAATGCATCAGTTTCGTCAGGATAAACGTGCAACGTTTACATTTTTTCCGAAAAAAACAATAGTTTATCGATAGTCATACAACAAGGATGGCAGCCAAGACCCCAGACGCGTGCCCAACTTACCGACGCACACCTCCCCCCCCTGGCGCCGGTACAGATGGACGTTCGCGCCAGACAGGGAACGTGTTTACCAAAATGACAACCATCGGACCTACCGCCTCAACGCGACTACAGAGGGGCTGACAGGGGAGTGCAGGGTCCCGCACTTTTATAATTACTTTTGTGTGCTGTGAGGCCTGGCGTCAATATCGCCCCCGATTCTGGAAGATTGTATGCTTTCTGAACGTTCGGATAGAGAGCTACTCGTTCCCGACCTTGTACAGAAGTTCTGTTTCATATTCCACGTTCACAGAGCATTATTTATGTGCGTCTTCAACCCGTTAACCAGGTTACCTTACGCAATCCCTTACAAGCTTGCGGAAATTATGGCTCCACCCGGAGTACCCGTCGGTTGTTACTGAGAGGGCTTCTTATGAGTTTTTATTGCCGAAACGAGCATCTTCGCTTCTCAACCTCTGAGGAGGCAAATTTGATTCCGCTCTAAACCAATTCTAAAATTGGGGTTCTACTTGCTTTGTGCCACATGTGGAACGTTCAATTCTTTGACCGCATGTCGTTGTGTCGGCTACCATCGATGCCGGTTTGGCCTGTTGCAAAGTTTATGGCGTCCCGAATGAGTGCCACCCATGACCTGTGATCGTCAGATAGACCCACAGCAACTGCCAAGTTAAGGTTCGACTGCCTCGGAGTCCTTGAACTGGTATCTCCTCCGTCGAAGACAGCTGACGTGGTCGAGTCTCCACGCCGGCATCTTGTAGACCGTCCAGGTCTTCGCTCCATACAGCAGTGTCGGCGGTATGACTGCCTTGTACATCTTCAGCTTCGTGTTGAGGTGGAGACCGTGACGGTTCAAGACGGTGTTCTGCAGATGGCCGAAGGCTTGGCTGGCTTTAGAAATGTGGCGGGCCACTTCGTCGTCGATTTTGGTGCTGCGGGAAAGGGTACTGCCCAGATATGTGAAGTTGTCCACCACTTGCATTTGGGTTCCGTTCCCGTTGGTTTGCGACTCATTGTGGTGGGCTGTAGTGGGTGGCAGTTGGTATATAACCACCGTCTTCTCCGTGTTGATTATCATACCGAAGTTCTCGCAGGCGGAAGCGATGAGGTCCATGCCCCTTTGCATGTCCCCTTCCGAGGTGCTGTTGAGGAAGAGCGCCATCAGCTAATCTATGAGTTAAGGGCAACCGTGCTTGTAGATGTCAGCAGGGATCGCGACCGATCCCGGCGCTTTTCCGCTGGAGAGCTGCTGCACGCCTCTGATGGTTCTGTGGAAGAGGGCGGGAGATCGAGGTCGTCGTTGGTTTAGGGATGTAGGGATGTGCAGCCGCGGGTCCACGTGACGGTCGTAGTATTTTGCTCGCTTGCTTGCCGATGTACTAAGCTAGGCTCTGCGTAGCAGCCACGCCCCAGTAATCGCTTCGACCGGCGGGCTAAACCAGGTGAGGGTATCCGTGTGTGCATCTCTGCATACGGTAATCTCGGTTGCGGGGTGTAGGGGTGTCAGCGGTGGGTTCACGTGAAGGTCGTAGTGGTCGCTCACTTGCTTGCAGGTGAGACTACGCCTAGCGTCCACTTGCTGGCACTCAACTCTCAGCTGTGGCTCCACGTAGCTGGGCTCTGCTCAGCGGCCACACCCCGGGCAACCGTCTCGACCGGCGGGCTAAACCAGGTGAAGGCGGTTACTCCCTGTGCGCGTTGTGCCGCGTGCACGGGTGACTGCGGACTCCGTGGACGGTTGGTCGGATGGAACACCGCGTCGGCGCCGTCGTGACGAGGCTCTGTCTGACACACCGCTGGTCAGCCGGTTGGTGGTGGAACGTCGCATCGGCATCGTCTAGACGAGGCTCCGCCTGGTACGCCGTTGATCAGCCGGTGGGATGGATCTCCGAATTGGCACCGTCGACACGCGCCCATCTGGTGCACCGTAGGAGACCGCAGGCTTGCGGCAATGCCGTAAGCCATTGGCAAATTCGAGTCGTTCTTCCACTGCCAAAAAAACTCGTGGCCCACAGTGGAGTTCGGCCGCGCCGGCACATCAAGCAGCCCCTATTCAGGGGTCAGGGCACTGCTTCCTTCGGGGGGGCCTGGAAAAGCTGGCCTAAAAATTGCTGGGGAACCACGTCGTCTGCTGGCGCACCGTGGTCGCAGACGCAAAACTCACGGTCGAAACAATCAAACTCGAAACAACAACAACAACCATACTCATTCCCCTCATCCTACCTCTTCTACCTCTACCTCCGTCTATTCTTCTGCCTATTCTTCTCCTTCGTCATCTTCTTCTCCATCTCCTTCCCATCGCCCCACTCGTTTTCCCCAGACTGGCAGGGTGAGCCCGCTCACTCTGGCAGCCTGGAATGTTCGTTCCCTTTTAGACATTCCGAGGAGCAACCGACCGGAACGGAGGACGGCGCTAGTGGCACGAGAACTGGCGCGCTACAAGGTGGACATCGCCGCACTCAGCGAGACCCGATTCTCCGAACAAGGCCAACTGGAGGAGGTGGGTGCCGGTTACACCTTCTTCTGGAGAGGCCGACCCAGGGCAGAGCGACGAGATGCGGGCGTCGCCTTCGCCATCCGGACGGACATCGTGGGACGACTGCCCTGTTTGCCGCAGGGCATCAACGATCGCCTGATGAGCCTCCGCCTGCCTCTCTGGGGAGGCAAATTCGCCACCATCATCAGCGCCTACGCTCCGACGATGACCAACCCCGACGCCGTCAGAGACAAATTCTACGAGGACCTGCACGCCCTCTTGGCGACTGTGTCGAAGGCGGACAAGTTGATTGTCCTTGGCGACTTCAACGCCCGCGTCGGCACAGACCATACTGCCTGGAGGGGAGTGGTGGGTCCTCACGGTCTCCGCGGCTCCAACGACAACGGCCTGCTTCTCCTCCGCACCTGCGCAGAACACCGCCTCACCCTGACGAATACCTTCTTCTGTCTGCCGGAGCGAGAGAAGGCCACCTGGAGGCATCCTCGGTCGCGTCAGCGGCACCTGCTGGACTATGTCCTCGTCCGGAGGCGAGATCAGCGGGACGTGCTGGTGACGAAGGCGATCGCGGGTGCTGACGGGTGGACCGACCATCGCCTCGTCATCTCGAAGATGCGTATTCGCCTACAGCCTCGCAGGAGACCACAAGGTAAGCGACCCCCAGGTAAGCTAAATGTTGCTTTGTTGTCTTTGCCTGCTCACCGTCTCCATTTCAGCAATGAGCTAGCTCAACGGCTAGACAACCTTCCTATCGCTGCCGCCGCCGCTGCCGAGAACGCCTCCGTGGAGAACCGCTGGTGTCAACTGCGTGACACAGTCCAGTCGACGGCGCTCGCCGTCCTCGGTCGCGCTCCCCGCCAACACCAGGACTGGTTCGACGACAACGACGCTGCCATCAGAAATCTGCTTGCCGAGAAGAACCGCCTACACAAAGCCTACGTAGAGCACCCAACTGAGGAAAACAAAGCTGCCTTCTACTGCAGTCGCCGACAGCTTCAGCAACGACTGCGCGAGATGCAGGACGCCTGGACTGCTCGCAAAGCTGAGGAGATCCAAGGCTACGCGGACCGCAACGAATGGAAGAACTTCTTCTCTGCGATCAAAGCTGTCTACGGTCCGCCGACGAAGGGCACTGCTCCTCTCCTCAGCGCCGACGGCAGCACTCTCCTGACTGAGAAGACGCAAATCCTGCAGCGATGGGCCGAGCACTTCCGAGGCGTCCTCAACCGCGCTTCCGTCATCTCCGAAGCCGCCATCGCCCGCTTGCCGCAAGTGGCGACCAACGCGGACCTCGACCTCCCGCCATCTCTCCAGGAAACGATCAGGGCCGTGCAGCAGCTCTCCAGCGGGAAAGCACCCGGATCGGACGCAATCCCTGCTGAGGTCTACAAGCACGGAGGTCCCCTACTGATGGATCACCTGACTGCGCTCTTCCAGGAGATGTGGCGTCAAGGTGAAGTCCCGCAAGATTTCAAAGACGCAACTATCGTGCACCTATACAAGCGCAAAGGGAATCGCCAAGTCTGCGACAACCACCGCGGCATCTCCCTACTGAACATCGCCGGGAAGATCTTCGCTTGCATCCTGCTCAACCGCCTCAACAACCATCTGGAACAGGGCCTTCTGCCGGAAAGCCAATGCGGCTTCCGTCGTCATCGTGGGACCACGGATATGATCTTCGCAGCCCGCCAACTTCAGGAGAAGAGCCAGGAGATGCGGACCCACCTGTACTCTACCTTCGTGGACCTGACGAAAGCCTTCGACACGGTGAATCGTGAAGGACTGTGGAAGATTATGCAGAAATTCGGCTGTCCGGAGCGATTCACTCAGATGGTGCGTCAGCTGCACGACGGTATGATGGCGCGAGTCACGGACAACGGAGCTGTCTCAGAGGCATTCGCAGTGACCAACGGAGTGAAGCACGGCTGTGTGCTGGCGCCTACCCTCTTCAGTCTCATGTTCTCTGCCATGCTGATGGACGCCTACCGCGACGAACGCCCTGGAATCCGCATCGCCTATAGAACGGACGGTCATCTCCTGAATCGCCGGCGCATGAACTTCCAATCGCGTGTATCCACAGCCACCGTGCACGAACTCCTCTTCGCCGACGACTGCGCCCTGAACGCCACCTCAGAAGTGGAGATGCAACGGAGCATGGACCTATTCTCCGCCGCCTGCGAGAACTTTGGGCTTGTTATCAACACCCAGAAGACGGTGGTGATGCATCAGCAGCCTCCCAGCTCAGCCACAGCCCCCAACGCGCCGCAAATCAACGTGAATGGGACTCAACTGCAAGTGGTAGAGAACTTCCCGTACCTGGGCAGCACGCTCTCCCGCAACAGCAAGATCGACGACGAAGTCGCCAACAGGATCTCGAAAGCCAGTCAAGCCTTCGGTCGCCTCCGAAGCACAGTTTGGAATCGTCATGGTCTCCAACTGAGCACAAAGCTGAAGATGTACAAGGCCGTCATCCTGCCGACGCTACTGTACGGAGCGGAGACCTGGACGGTGTACACGAGGCAGGCACGTCGACTAAACCACTTCCACCTCAGCTGTCTCCGCCGCATCCTGAGGCTGAACTGGCAGGACCGCATCCCCGACACCGAAGTGCTGGAACGGACGGGAATTCTGAGCATCTACTCCATGTTGAGACAAATGCAGCTGCGCTGGAGCGGCCATCTGGTGCGCATGGACGACGAGCGACTACCCAAACGACTCTTCTACGGAGACGTCGCGACGGGTTCTCGTCGTCAAGGAGGCCAAATTCGCCGTTACAAAGATACTCTGAAGTCCTCCCTGAAGCGCCTGAACATCAACCCGACCAACTGGGAAGAGCTCGCCCGCGATCGTCCGACATGGAGGAGAACAGTGAAAAGGGGCGCTGCTATCTACGAAGCCAACCGCATCGCCGCCGCCAAAGTGAAACGCGAAGTCCGCAAATCACAACTTCGCCCAATACGCAACGCCGCCGCACAACTTCTCCCTACGTGTCCTCGATGTCAACGGACATTCCGGGCACGAATTGGACTTGTTGGACATCTTCGAACCAACTGCACCTCTCGAACTGCTCCAGCCATCGTCCACGCGCCCGCCTCTTCCTCGTCCTCGCTTCCGCCAACTAACTCTGACACTCCTTCTGCACCACCACTTCCATCCTCCTCCTTCTCCTCCTCTGCCCCAGCGGTGGCCATTCAGGCTGCCGTCTCACACATCGCCAACCACGACACAGCAACCGCAACCACCCCCACCTGCACTCACTGCGACCGCACCTTCACCTCACACAACGGCCTGGTCGGTCACTTGCGAATCCATCGCACAGAGACTGGTGAACCAGTGCCTGGAGCACCAACCTACACCCACCGCACTCGCCTCCACTGCCCACAATGCCCTCGCACCTTCCGGCATCGCATGGGCCTATTCGGCCACATGCGCATCCACGAGAGCGGAATTGACCGCAGCCTTGACACACCCACCCCGCCGAGCCCCACTCCCAATCCATCACCTTGTGCACCCACTAACCACTCCCCAGCCGACATCGACGCCACCGACCTTACCACCCCTCACTCCCCCCCTTCCTCCTCCACTTCCTCCTTCATTGCCACAACGACGGCCACTCCGGCGTCTGTAGCGCACGACTTCACCGCAGCCGCACCTGACACAACAACAGGCACAACCCCTGCAACCTCCATCAACAAATGTGAGGGCCCGGACTACATCTGCCCTCACTGCGATCGCACCTTCACTTCACGCATCGGCCTGGTCGGTCACTTGCGAATCCATCGCACAGAGTCTGGCGAACCAGTGCCTGGAGCACCAACCTACACTCACCGCACTCGCCTCCACTGCCCACACTGCCCTCGCACCTTCACGCATCGCATGGGTCTATTCGGCCACATGCGCATCCACAACGACCTGCGGTAGACAACCGCCGGTCACACCACACATTCCCTCACTCCCTACCTCATAACATCATCACCCCACTAGACCTCAACCCTCACACACCTCATGCACTCAACTGCCGCCTCCCACGCAAGTGGGAAGTGTGCATCTCGACTCGGTCCCCATGCGGCCTCGGCTGCACGAGTGACTTGAGTCCGAGACTATCCCGACACGTCAAGTGTCGTGGATAGGAAGGTTGCTGATTGACGCCCGTTCTCGGTTCACGCAGTTCGTCACGTTGTGTGTGTGTCGTGTAGTGGCGGACTGGTGGGCTGGGGACGGGCTGAAGCAGCACCTTCTACGGCCCTCTCACGCATGTGAGAGACACGCCGTTCAACTCCCGTTGTGTGAAATCCTGGTGTTTGTGTGTATGGGGGGCCAGGTCGTGCTGTGGCGCGCGCAGGCATGGTCAGTCGACCATGTCAGCCACCGCGCCCATTCCCCACTCCAGTCTACTGACCGGCTCGGACAGTGGCTGGGGTGTGGGAATGGGAAGGGAGAGTGAGGTCGTCGACTCAGCGCATTTTCCTCACTATAAACAATCTGACGCGCTTGAAGCTATCACGGTGCGCCAAAAGCCGTGGCTTGGAAGGTTGCCAACTGACGGGGTACCTTGGACCTCTTCCATTACTGGAGGCGGTCTGAGAGTCAGGCTGCAATGGCTCCCTTTTAATGTGGCCTTTATGGCATTCCCACCACAGTGTGGGATCCGAGCCAGGCGTTGGCGGCACGCCCAGGTGCGGCTTCGGCCGTACCAGCCTCCAAATCTATGTTGTGTTGGTTCAAATCCTGGTTATTGTTGTGTGGACCAGTGGGTGTGGTGGAACGCCAAGGTGAGGATCCGTCCGAGCCATCCACCTGCGGCCTCCCTCGTCTCCGGTCTTCTTGACTCTGTCTTGACACCGGGTTTAGGCGGGGGAGGAGGAGAGAGTGTAGGTAGATGCTACGCAAGTCTACTGGCACTATAAACCCCTGCGTAAGTCACCGTCCCTGCTCCCACCGCTGCTGCAGCTGTGGGGCACACGGTGGACATCGTCGAAATCGACGGTCGAACTGTCAATCTCGGTTGCGCTGGCCGGCATTGGCATCTCCGTTAGGTAGCTCCATCTGGAACACCGTAGGAGGCCACAAGGTAAGTGGGCCCCCAGGTAAGCGAACGTTGCTCTGTTGCCTCTGCTATTTGATATTCTTGCCTGTTGGTCTTTTTCTGCTCGCTTGTGTTTGTCCTTATTGTAAGCTAAATGCCGTTCTGTTGAAGTTGTCTGTTCAGCGTTTGTATTTCATCAGCCAGTCAGCTTAGAGAGGGAGGGGAAAGCTCTGCATCCCGTCGCCCTACCCTTCCCCCTCCCACCTCCCTTCAAGCTTACGGCGATGACGTAGGCGAGCCCCAGGTAATCTGAATATTGCTTTGTTGTCTTTGCCTGCTCACCATCTCCATTTCAGCAGTGAGCTAGCTCAAATGTTAGCCAACATCCCAGTCGCGGCCGCCGCCATCGAGGAGGACACCTCCGTAGAGAACCGATGGTGCCAACTCCGGGACACAGTCCAGTCAACGGTCCTGGCTGTCCTCGGTCGCGCACGTCGCCAACATCAGGACTGGTTCGATGGCAACGCCGCCATCAGCAACCCGCCTGCACAAAGCCTACGTCAATCGTCCCACCGTCAACAACAAAGCGGCCTTTTACCGTAGTTGCTGCCTCGCGCAACGGCGGCTGCGAGATACAGGGTCTCGTGGGACCGAGATCCAAGGATACGCAGATCGCGGCGAAGGGAATAATTTCTTCTCCGCGATCAAGGCTGTCTAAGGTCCGCCAACCAAAGGAACTGCTCCTCTTCTCAGCGCCGACGGCAGTACCCTACTCCCACAGAAGGCGCAAATCCTACAGCGTTGGGCCGAGCACTTCCTAGGCGTCCTCAACCATCTTCGACGCTGCCATCGCCTGTATGCCTCAAGTGGAGGACGCACACACACACATCTAAATACCACTAGCGCCCATTTTACATGTTTGCATTCTTCAAAAGCTTATCGAATGTTCTAGCCGGAGCATCACCTATGGCGGCACCAATTCAAAATTCTGCAGTCGAGTGGACGTGCTCCCATTGTATCCGAGTCTCCTGTAACGATCCAAATTCGTCCACAACTGCCTCACCGAACGAAACGACATCTAGCGGGTGTTCGTAGTCGCAGCATATGCACACAGGGATTAAGTCGCCTATGAAATGCTCCGCATTCATGCCCCAAAATCGGGCACATTGCGGCTTCTTCCCTCTGAAATGCTAGCAAGCCGTCGATCGTCAAGTTCACCACTAGTTCGTCGTTCGCAAACATACGCTCTTTTCTAGTTACCAAGTTCCTGACCTGACTCTGCAGTCCTAATTGCATATACTCATCCCCTCTAGTGGGCGTAACTTGTATGGTGCACGATGCCACCGGCAGTGAACTCAAGTCCGCTGGCACTTTGAGTAAAAATAGGCGAATTATTTTCGGTACAGTTTGCACATAAGCATAAAAAATGTTGCCTACTAAGGCTCACTGTATTCGCCGCAAGACATCGGTGGGATTGAGGGAGGCGTTCAGAGGGAGCGGCTGCCTCTGTGGTTGTGCCACTTAGGTCGTAAAACAGATGTGGTGTGCTGTATTCGATGAGCTATGTCGAGCTCAATGTTCACGAGTTCCGACGCCATTTACTTACACGAAATAAGGAGCGCTCCACAGGAAGAAAATACTACCATAGAGAACATGCTGACCCGCCGAAACAGAGAGGAAGAGCAATAACAGGGGCTATGGGCTGTGCATTTTATTTCAGAAAATTAAAAAAAATCGGAGTACAAAATGGTAGCGCATTAGAGGTTGACAGTAAAATCCCCCAGCGTGCTTGTTTCTTCGTCCAAATTAGGTAGAAACTAAAAGTGAAAAAATAGGGAAGGGAATTTAGAAGAAATGAGCCGACATTTTGATGTTTCAGGCGCTACTATAGTCATTGTAAAAGTTTAAAGCATCTCTTTTTGTAACTGCGAATATCCTTCCTACTCAAATCGATATCAGTAAGCATGGTGTCCAGTTTCTAGCCGCCATAGTCCGATAGAAGCCCTGGGAAAATTAAGATTTCCTCAAATCTTCTAAGTTTATTTGGATACGCGTTCCGCAGGTGAATCTAGGCTACGACGGCGTTTGACTTTTTGCACAAGTCAAGCCAATCAAATTCTTGCCGGATGTCCCACTGCAACAGGCCGTGATGGACGCGATGCGCGCTGTCGAAACAAATCCCATGTCAACCTCCTTGCCAGAGTTAACTTGCTCATTCTGGCCATCCAGAACGCTTGGCCGCTTTCAGACCACCCGACGACGAACCGACAAGAAAGGGAGGTTCGTCGCCCACGAAACGGCGGTTCCCAGCCAGACCCGGTTTTCCAGCAGGTGCGAGAAAACCTTCTGTAATAAATGTAAGACAATGGCAAGATTCTAAAGTCCCTTTGACAAGAAACACTTCTTCATGACCATCAGGGCGGTATGTGAGCCTCAACCCATGGAGACTGCGCCACTTATCGGCTCAGATGTCATCACTATCCACAGATACAATAGAACAGAAAATGAGAGGGTGCGTGACAATCACCACGAAACCGCCCTCAGCACAGCAAGCAAGAGATGTGCCTGGGTGTTGCTCAAACGCCCGAATACAAACTGGGGAGAGACTGAGTCAAAGAGCTTTGCGACTACGTTGTGGTGAAGCAAATCCACCCGCGTTGGAGTGATCACATTGTGAAGATGGCTGCCAAGCGGCTGTCTAAGAGAGACTACACAAGTGCAATGTCTTGCAGCGGATTGAGAAGGTAGACAAAATCGAAGACATGCGAGAGTTAGACCGCCGGTTTCGACCATGTCCATCATGTGCTCCACAGCAGCGTGAGAGCAGAGATGGTGACTTGCGTGTGATTTAGTTTGAAGTGATAGCAGACTTGCGCAGCATCTAGCATACTATCTCCCCCTCATCCACCTGAACCCGGCTTCATGACAAACTCAAGAAGATCGGAGGTGGCTGGCACGGCGTAAGCCTCCACCTAGACTTACCTATAACCACACCCCATGGTCCACAGCAAACATTTGACCAGAATTTTATACAACAACAAATATGGGCGAGTTGCAAGGATCCCAATGCGCGCCGCGTGAGCTTGCAACCGGGCCTAACACCGCACCCCCGATGTTGGCATTTGTTATGGATGCGCATTTCCGATAACGCCTGCCACAGTCCGATGTGGCCTCCGTGTCGGCCCAGCGCATCGACCGTATGGCCCGTTTTAGGGGCGCGCACGAGTTAACACGATGACGATCGACAGCACTCCACACAACACTCGTACAAGAAGCATACAAAGAAAGGTGCCAAGATCGGAAAGGCGAATGAAAAATCGCATGTGAAAATGTGCACATCCCAACCACGCAAGCAGTGCACCCTTCGGTGTGGCCTGGCATCCATGAAACAGGGGCAAGGCGGCGTGTAGCACGTGTAGATGCGGTGCGCAGTCCTGCCGAGCACTGCGCCCAACCTCACTAACAGTCAATTCAACTCAGACAAGTATGGGGGTGGGAAGAGGGAGGAGGTCGATGGTGGAAAATCCCCCCTCAGGGCAAACCAACAAATTCATCACTATAATAAACCTAACACGTCCATCGTAAACGACGAGGACCTCTAGTAGGTCGGGGGAGCAATGTCGAGCTATGCATAACTTCGATTACAGAAGGGCACTTTTGTTGCATCAACCTTACTCTCCTCCACAACCACCATGGCTAGATAAGGTCGAGAGACCTGAAAACCGGACATTCGTTCATCGTTGATTCGTGCCACGAATGCAGAACTCTCAACTCACGACAGTGCTGGTTTCTTCGCCCACACTAGTGTCAGACGGTAAATGCAAAGATGATGTCTATGATCACATGCTGGACGCGCTTGAGGGTCACTTCAGCGGCCTACACAACGGCATAACAAATTACGACGTTGATTACGATAAGCGCAATAAGGTAGGCAATTGAACAGCAAGCAACAGGGCGGGAATTAGCAACTAACCAATCCGCCTCCTCCTGCGCAATCATGCAACGAAGTTTCTGTGTCAAACTAGTGAGAGTGGCCGAGACGTCAGCGGCTGTGGTGGCAAAGGAGTCGAAGACATAGGAGCACCCTGAAGATCTCCTCTTAAGTACCCGGAAGTTAACTAGGACACCTGGGGATGCCCTTGGGCAGCAACAGCAGGCTCGATGTACAGCAGTAAAAACCTTAACAGCACTCTTCGAGATAAAACGAATACAGGGCACCAAGGCAAAATGCAAGCAAACAAGTCAGCAATACCCTTAACCAATGTCGCCAATAACCGACATCTCTCCTGACTGGACCCATTAAACGACTTCAGACGCACCGCTGTCAACACCATAAACCGACTCCCTGCACCAGAAAATATAACCGGCACCGTCCTCGTGAAAACCCCTCCACTTCCAAACCCCGCCGACCAGCCCTAGTCGGGCGTCTTAGCAAACATCGCAACGGCAGCGCCCTCGGGAGACAGAGTTCAACCATCAGCAATGCAGCCACAGCGCCAACATGCCGGTATTCGAATTACGCATTTGACTGGTTGGTGAGTTGAGGATCTACCGCAATGCAACTTGACAATCACGATCGGGAACTGTGGCTAACACGCGTCATGTTAACACTGTCCAAGTCAATTCGCGCATTGTAGTAGCCTACCTGGCCATATGCGTATACACAATACTGGTAGCTGAAATAATGCAACCCAGGCTCCACTCACACTCCCTACACACCCAGACAAGTCATGAGCGCCGTTGGTCACATATGCATGCATACTATCAGTAAACCAGCACAAATTACTCGGGTGACGGTCATGGGATGCAATCGGCCAATGTCGTAATGGCGGCTGAAGTATCGCAAATGAGTGCATATCTCTCAATTATGTGAAATGTGTGTGTTGGTGAAGTCTGATTCGTGGGTGCGGAAAAAACATGCGGGTTGCCAGGGGGACACAGCGTTATAAAGGTGAGCAAGGCGGGTACAGCGCACGCCTCCTTCACCATGAACAAAGTCCCGCCCTACCTCTGTAAGAGTGGTGAATTTCGTCATCCGCGATGGGCAAAATATTCTGGCATGTCATGTTTCAAGACAGAAGAGAAATATCCGCAAAATACACATAGCATGGCTCATGTAAAAGATAGTTTTCATCCTTACCAAGATGGTCTAGGCTCCTTTGTGTCACAAGAAATAGGGATCAGTTCTGAGGTGATTGTCCGAGCGGTGAAGAAGGTAGGAGATAGGACGGAAGACTGAGTTCACTACCTGCAGTGTAAAAAGGCCAACAATTCACTGAACGGCCTACTGCCCAGAGTATTTTTAGAACTGCCTCTAGGATGATAAGTTCGACCCCCAAATTAGACTCGACAGTTCGGCTGCCGTTTCCGGCGACGTCTACCGTGTGCCTCAGAGCAGGGTTGACGCAGAGACGGCGACTTACGAGTGGGCTAGTTTATAGTGATAGAAGATCTGTGCTGCATTTGTTGCACTCACCAACCTGAGTCCGGTGTCAAGAAGACCCGAGACGAGATTGGGCGTAGGTGGGTGGCGCGGCGCGAGCTTGCGCCTAGGCGTGCCCCACTCCCAATGCATAGTATTTGTTATGGTTGCGCAGTCAAATAACACGTGCGGGACACAGAGCTAGCCCGGTGTTGGTCCGGCGCATATTCCACGTGGCCCGTTATAGGGGACACACGCACACACACTCAAAGACTATATTCCTCGTCGTATACTAGACAAAGGCCAGGCATTCACGAGGAGAACGAGACGTACTGAACAGAAAACAACGGAAGCCTGCAATCTGTGTCTGAATTCGACGTTTGTTTTCCGAGACGACACCTTCACACAAAACGCCTCCCCATCAGCTCTCTAATGCTCCTCCTGATTGCCAATCGTTTCTTGAAGGAATTTCAAACCCTTGTTTCATTCCCATTTTCCACGCCTGGATAAGTAAGTTCGCACTGTCTACATCGATCCCAGGGCTCTGACACAAACACATGGGTAATAACTATAGTACGAAGACCGATGGTCCCCTCGTGGTTGATGCGTTCAACCAGGATCAGGGAAAGCTGTCACGCAAATGACACTCACGTCTCCACATCTGAGGGCTGATGACCTCTGGCCATTTATCAGTTAGCAAGTGATGATAAAGGTTTGTTAGTTTTCGAAGTCTTGTTTCACAGACTCTTGACGGATGAGACGGATGAGGGTAGAATAAGTAGCAAGTTGAAAGAAGGCGAACGCAAACAGTCATTAACATACATAAACTATCTGAATCCAAATGCTGAGGAAGCTCGACTTTCGAAGTATCACTGTGTAAACGGACAAAACCACCATTGACATCGTCCAGGTCGGGGACGGGTGAAGGAGTACGGCCTGAAAGAGAAAAGCATTTCAATCAAATCGTCGATAACCAAGTAAGTCGAGTCGGGTGCATGCAGATGAAGTCTATAGAAGGGGCGAAATGGCTGATGAACCAAACGTAAAGTAAATCGATCTTTCGATTGCCTACAGCCCGCGACAACTCTTGTCAAGTCACATAATCTCCCCCTACAGCAAATCACTCAGCGCATGTGGGTCGGCAATTTTCCCAAGCGAAAATTAAGTGAGACAAGATTGAGGTGCTAGTGTGAATTCTGAACAGAAAGGCGGTCCCTAAAACGGGCAACGCGGTAGATGCGCTGGACCAACATTGGGGTGTGGTAGCGGACCCAGTTGCCGGTTCTCTCAGCGCCAATTGGTATCCGAGCCGCTCCCCTTTTTTTACATAAAGTCGTGGACCAGGAGGTGAGGTGCTATCACTACAAACTAACGCGTGAGCCACTGTTCCTGCCCTCACACTGTAGTGGAGCACACAGTGGACATTATCGGCAACGACGGTCGAAAAGTCGATCTACATGGCCCTCTAGCAAGTGTGGCTACGCACAGGTCAGGCGAACACGTCAATAAGGTGCCGACGATGGCGTTTACGAGTCATCCAGAGGTCAGCCGCTTGAGCGCTGGGGAGGGAGAGTGTGGGGATTGAAAGCGGCGCCCTTAGCACTCATGGATAATTTGGTGTCCGCTAAATGGACCAAGCTAAAGTCAGCTGGTCTGGTCTGGTATTCCATCACTCACTTGCACATAACTAGGGTACCATTGTGAACCACGGGCACATTACATTTCCGGTCAAATTTTATTAGAAGTAGCGTACAATGTTAAAATTTTAAATAACTAGGGTTAGGGAAGAATGAGGCGATTGATAAGATGCTTAACGTTAAGTACATTTTACCGGGTTTATTTTTCTTTTAGCTTTGCGCTACGTATAATAAGGGCGGTCCAAATTTTCAAACAGCACGTGAATAAACGTGCATGCCTGCTGCAAGTTTGGCGTTCTAGAGGGACCACAAAAGACCTCAATTCCCTGTAGGAGCTTAGGAAGGTGAAAAATCCAACTTTCTCTTGTCTTTATTTATTCGGGGTTCTGTTCCCGTAAGGGGGCTGTCGTGAATATGCGTCATGTGCAGTTTACTTCGGCTAATAGGCCAGTACTTGAGCAAGGCGCCTTGAAACGATTGAATGGTTGGCGAAATTAATCGGAGTTACAGTGGACGATCATTAATTAGGTGTTCCCTTAAAATCTCTGTCATCCCCTTCTATTTCCTTTGTTTTGGGCATTCAACGGTGTCCTGCGGAGGATGGCTGCTTTCCTCACAGCTTATCATCCGCTTGACCGTCGTGAACGTCGAGTTCCACCATGTGCACCACATCATAGCAGGCGCAAGACCGATATTTTCGCAGCATCTGCCGCACTCCCTCTTCTCTTATCCATCTAAGCCCGACGACAGTCGGGGCTGAGTCAGGATAATCGGAGACAGGGTTGGGCGCGGTGGCGGGCAAAGCCAAACAAGCCGTCAACGCGCGCCACACACGACCTGATCCGCGAGCGATAGACCGCATCTTCACAGAAACAATGGGACGGCTCGGATCCCGTTTGAGTGTGTATGCCATAGTAGCCACATTCAGGCGGAGCCAGTGCAGACTGAGTCTACATCCTAAGAAGGCCGACTTGTCATCAGTTGGTGGCTTATCAAGCCACAACTTGTAGCACGTTGTGGTAATTGAAAAGCGCGTCAAATGGTTTATAAGGAGAAATATGTGCTGAAGTGCCGTGAGGATGGAGATCCCAGAGTCGACCTCACGCTCTCTTCCCTCTGTCTGGCTAACGCGTTCTGTGCCTTAATCTTGCCCGCGTTTTGGTCTGGCCCATCTCCCGAGTGGCTAATCTTAAGGGGTTGACCTTACGATTTATGGTGCTATTACATCACGCATGCGACTGCATGCTTTGCCCGCCGTCTGTCTTTCGGGCGATGCATAACCACTATTTTGGGGATCTTACTGTCGTGCGTACTTTGCCAGCGCATAACCACGCCGGCTACATGGCTATGCAGACCATCTGACAGAACTGCCGATCATCACGCCCCCTCCGTGTCGGCCTAGAATGCAGACTAGCTGCCTAGGTTTGTCTTCCTGAATTTTTGCTTGAGAAAACTACTGGGTGGAATACACTCGCAGCAATACATAAAAGCTGTACGTTCAGACTTTAGCTCTGATAAACTGATGACCCTGTCAATAGTCTCCTGCACTTGCGGTTTTTATCTTGATGTTTGGTGTCCGTCCTGTGCTAGGGTCTAGGCTGCAAAATTACAAAGGTGAGAGCTTTTTACTTCACCATGCACATATACGAGGAAGCGGAACTAACCGTAAGTCTGCCACAAGTGATACGGGTGGGTTTGCAAATCGCCTAGATCCTAGTTGCATAAAGAATTCTGTAACAAAGCTGCCCAGTGATGGCTTATAAGCTTGCGATCGCAGTAGGGATTCACAACCATTGCCCATCGCATTTCTATGCAAAAATATAGGCATTTTCACTGAAACAATATAGTTATGAATTCATACCGTGTTTTTGACGAAATGCTGTTTGGAAAGCAGGAGAAAGGCGATCACCAAACGGAGAAAATTGGACCAGAGAACTGGAATCTGACCCGACTTTCGCTAAAGCAAGAGTACGAGTTCAAATAAGTGATGCACACAACGCTTACAACTCGTCTGGAAATGCACACTTTTTGCTACGCAAGAATTTCAAAAGTTTATAGATGTTTTGGCAGATTTTGAATAAGTTGTTTTGAACCGACTGTGAAGAATTCGGCGACCTCGGTGGGATTCGGATCCACGACAACAAGGGGAAGGCTTTAGTACAGCCAACGTTCTAGCCACCTGAGCTACGAGACCATACCGGGGGCCGCGGGTTTAATTACATTTGGGTCAAGTAATTCACCCAGCCTACTGCAACGTATGAAATCCACCAAACCTGATACAGTAAGCCGACTGCCCAAGCAGGATTTCCCAAGTAATCCATCTAGAATCCGCCAGATGACTACCAGGCTCATGTAATTAATAAGTGGGGCTTCGTAGATCAGGTGGCCAGAACGTCGGCTGTACGCGAGCTCTCCCCTTGCTGTCGAGGGTTCGAGTCTCACTGAGGTCGTCGAATCTTTCACAGTCGGGTCAACGTAAATTTCGAAGTTGAGAAGTCGTACTGAAAAAGACACGCATAAGTTGGATGACCATCATTAGCTTACTTGCTTGCAACAGCTGATGTATCCGTGGATTGAGACCGAAAACATGCAATGCCACGTGCAAATGGCACTCACTGACCTGTCCCAATTTGCGGATGGAAGACAGAGGGGTCGGGTTTAGTTCTCCGAGTAAGGAGCCGTTGCGGGCGGTGGTAGAACAAAGAACTCCGAGACAGAATTTAATCGTTTAGTATTTCTTCCTGCGGTTATGACTGATTGGTGGAACCCACCTCATGTGGTAGTTCACGTTTGTTATAATAGACCCGCTTTTAAATTTCGTTCCACTACTCGTAAGCCACTCTTTAGGACTAAGACTAATGTTTCTAAATTAGAAGGCTTGATCACCAGACACGATTGGCATTTCAGGCAACTGGACCTACCATCAATTGCCACGAAAACTAGTGTCAATAGCATCAGTTTCGTCGCCTGCTGTCCTTGCGTGCTTCAAGCCAGCACAGCACAGATAACGTTGCATAAATAACTCTGTCCGTAAGGGGAGGGAGGTGAGGGCTATCCAACAGGGGATGCAAGTAGCCGCTTGGGCGACCATAATCAACGTCGTCTTACGAGGTCTGCCGTCGACAGACGACGCAGAGGGAGAGCAGAGGACAAATCTGCGGACTGCTACCCGATAGGGGGACAACAGGCACACTTATCCGAACTGTCAGCTACCTAATGACAGCTGTGATCGTGATTGCCCCGCCTCGCCTGGAAACTCCAAAACGTCGTAATTCCATTTTCTAGAGAGAAGCAATGATAGATTTTCGCGACCTTTTAAATAATGTGTAGAAGTTACTTAAACAAGGCCCAGGCTACAAAGTACTCGGTAAGCAAACGAATAAGCAGGATATTTCAAGGAAATTGGCACGGCGGATGAGGCCTCGACTTCGATGAGACAAGGACCAAAGTATTGCCGTAGAAAAGTAGGTCCCCACACGAAAATTCGTAAACTCAAGGAGTCAGCTATAGGTGACCCACTTATTGTCTGCGTTTTTAGGGTAGTTCGAATAAAGAGCGGGCTGAATGAGATTGACTAATGTAAAATGAACGCAAAACGCCCAGCTATGTAAGGTTACAGGCTTTAGATGAAGACGATTGTGCCTGAAGGTGATCAATTGGAAAAAATGGAGGCAGCGTGTAATCACATAGCGTGTCCGACATATTCATCTGGAGACGCTGGGCCGTCGTTAGAGACAGAGTAGATTGACCCGGCTGCCCAAGCTGATAAGATTACCAACCCTGCGGAAGAAAAACTCAAAAGGCAAGTACATTGGAAAGGTAATAACCGAAGGCAAAGAAAGCACCTGTAGAGTTGGCTTGAGAGGAACATCTGATATGAGCTGTTGAGGCCAGCCCTGGTAAAGATGCGTCGTTTTCGTCGCCTGGCACAGCACTGTACTCAGCTAAAAAAGTAAAATCAGTAACAAAGTAAATGGAAACTGTTGCTTTCCAAGTGACAATCTATGCGTGAAGATGGAAATCCGAATTAGCGCACGTCGATGGATTATCATTCAGTCCTCAGAGAGAAAGAAACACGTACAAAAATTGGAATCTGTCGAACATGTTCTGCAGCTTGAAACCAGCAAAGATAACGACCGCCCTTGCATGTGGTCTGTTGATTGCGGACAAAATGGCGCAGTTGTCAGGCGTCAGAGCAACAGTTTCCGACGTAAAAGGTGGATGAATCAAGACATGGCGAAAGAACGACAAAATCGAGAAACTGATAGCCAAGAGCAAAGTCAAATTGGATCATGGCTGACCAAATGGGTTTAAACCCAGTGGGCACATGCATCAGAACACTAGGAAAAAGCTCTGGGTCCAGTAAATCGTCGTATGCAAACGTTTCCATGAACTAATCGTCTCTGGAGTCTCAAGTAAGAATGAAAAAAGCCTTAAGTAGGTTCGCCACTCTCCCCATGGGCGAGAAGTATTTCCCTGGCACAACGACGGCACTGCCGGCTGTGACGTCCACTTCAAGGTGGACAACAACAGCGAAATGGTCGACAAATCCAGGCATCGTTACGGCTGATGTTCAGCCTCGTGTTCTCAAACGACGCAGATTATCTTGGAAGAAGAGTTCAAAATAGGGAGTACCTGGATTCTGCAAAAATTTCCAGATTCGCTAGACATGGATCTTCGCTCAGGGGGACGTTGCCTGCTAAACACTCAATACGATTTACAAGTGGTTGTTAAAGAGCTAAACTCCTGCCCATCAAGACCGGCGGATTTCAACCTCCTGGACTACTCATTGTGAGCACTTGAGCTCCGAATGAGATTTTTTTAAATTTCAGCACACAAAACTGGAAACCCGAGACTGCCTACGGCATGGAACAACATATCAGCGGCCTATAGTAGGACCATGTGGTTCAGTCCTGGTCCAGAATTGCGGCCGTCGTCGAGGTCTGGGCGGATTCATCGACTAAAGAACTTTAAATATCTTTGACTTCATTTCTTATCAAGGAATTTTCGCCCGTAATATTCAATTTTCTACCTTTTACTGCTTAAAGAGCATAGACCATGAAATGAAAAATCTAGGTCACATACCGAAACAACAGCACCAAAGCCACCAACATCAACAATGGCAGTTAGCAGCCTGTATGAATGCTGCCATACTTAGGGCTATCAAAAGTTAAAGCATAGTAGAATAAGCTGCGCGGATATAATAAAGGCCATCTACACAGTCTACTTCCTGGGGGTTTTGCAGACGAAAAACATCCAATGGGTGATTGGTAGGGGTCAACGGGTTGAGCCTTGTCCACAACGACACACGCCTTGATTAACATAGTTTGTGCCTCAACAACTGTGTAACGATGGAGTTCTAACCTGACGGGTTGCAATACTCGAATACCTTGATTTGTACACACACAGCGACAGATCAATAAGGAACCATGAAACACCATAGCTGCTTTCCGTCTCTCCCTCTCTCATCAATTCGAGTAAATCTGGAACAACCAAGATAAGGGTCAGACTATGAAGGTGGCCTCCAAGCTTCGTCAGTGAGTCAAAGAGTGTCAGAGACAACCCCCCTCGCATGGTTGGGCCTCGCGCTTAGTTCTCACACTGTAACTTGGCTGAACGCGCTTCCTACCTAGCACGACACAACAACGGTCGCGGCTTGAAAGATTGCGCAAGCCACCGTCCCTGCTCCCACCACGCTGTGGGACACGCGGTGGACATTGTCAGAAATGACGGCCGAACTGTCACCGAATGATCTAGGGAACTGGTAGGCAGGCCAACGATACTAGGCACTCTGTCTGTTGGTAAAAGGCAATCAGTCCTTCCGAGTTCCTAGCATAATTAATAAAGTCAGCAAATGGAAATAGGTCCGAGCAACCACAAATCAACATGGAAATTCCCATCGACGAGCACGAGGGAAAATCGAAAAAATGTGGGAATCGGGTAAATGACTGACCGGATGAGTTTAAAGACAGGGAGGCCATAACGGATTGTATGGATGATAAATGTCTGAGAGGAGACTCCGTAGAATTTGCAAGACTGGTGAGCTGCCTAACGCGAAGTTCCGCTTGCGCGACTTTCGCCTGAGAGCAGCCGGGAGAAGCTAACAATAAGAATACAGAAAATCGAACTTAGAAGAACAACTTGAAGGGTGATTATAACGGAAGGAAGACAAGCCTTACTAAGTTGTGCGTGCAAGCCGGGATTGTGTGGCGATGGAAGTGTGGACAGATACCAAAGGATGCCCGAAAAAAGCTCACCTGACAAGTTTAGTTGGAGTTCTCCTAGGGCACTGCGTGCTAGACGAGGACTGCTACTGAGAGGCTGATTGGGAGAAAGTCCGTTTGGACTAGAAGTCGAAGGAGACGGTGGAAGGGCAACAGCTTCGGGATTGGGACGCACAGACATTCGTGGGTTCGAATAGCAGAGTGAGGCAGAGTCCTCCGCAGACAAACCACTTTCTCTGCCAAGAGTCAACGGCGAAGGACACCTAAACGTTGAGAGGGAATGAAGTAAGAGACGAATGATAGGACATGGATGCAGACTTATATATATAGGAAAAAGGTTAAGAAGATGTCTTGTAGCAGTGACGGGGATTGATTCGAAGTCGGTTTGACAAAACGGCCATTTTGCCACTCCGTACGTTGGTATGTCCTGTAGAAACACAATCGATTGGAGGGATATTGGTCTTGAGTTACCTGATTTCCTTTGCCAATCAGACTTGTCGAACAGCGCAGTGAAACCGATCTCCTTAGCAGGCAGGATGACGATGTCTTTGTACGTCGCGAATGGCGAGTTCATTTTGTTTGCAGTTGGGATGTGCAGGTCATAGGGAAGGGGAAGAGGAGGCATTCCCGGTTTTCTGATGTGGGTGGGTAGCCGTTGTAGGAAAATATACCAACGAATTTATCCCGTCGCAGACCGCCACAGATGCAGGCGTAATACGTCATACATACAAGCCAGCTAGATCAGGCATGACCATTATTGTGACGATTACCTATATGCGATACATTACGGTTCCCCACCAAACGCATAGACCAGCCTGCCTCCCATCTTACAGAATACCACAGCTACCAGTATTATCTCCGAAGCCAATCTTCCCACCCTCCCACACAATACTCATATGAAAAGGCATACAAAGAAATGTGTCAAGATCGGGGAAGGCGAATGAAAAATCGCATGTGAAAATGTGCACATCCCACTCACGCAAGAAGTGCACCCTTCGGTGTGACCTGGCATCCATGCAACAGGGGCAAGGCGGCGTGTAGCACGTGTAGATGCGATGCGCAGTCTTGCCTAGCACTGCACCCAACCTTACTAACAGTCAATTCCAAGCAGACCAGTATGGGGGTGGGAAGAGGGAGCGAGATCGATGGTGGAAAATCCCTCCTCAGGGCAAACCAACAAATTCCTCACTATAATAAACCTAACACGTCCATCGTAAACGACGATGACCTCTAGTAGGTCGGGGGAGCAATGTCGAGCTATGCATAACTTCGATTACAGAAGGGCACTTTTGTTGCATCAACCTTACTCTCCTCCACAACCACCATGGCTAGATAAGGTCGAGAGACCTGAAAACCAGACATTCGCTCATCGTTGATTCGTGCCACGAATGCAGATCTCTCAACTCACGACAGTGCTGGTTTCTTCGCCCACACTAGTGTCAGACGGTAAATACAAAGATGATGTCTATGATCACATGCAGGACGCGCTTGAGGGTCCCTTCAGCGGCCTACACAACGGCATAACAAATTACGACGTTGATTACGATAAGCGCAATAAGGTAGGCAATTGAACAGCAAGCAACAGGGCGGGAATTAGCAACTAACCAATCCGCCTCCTCCTGCGCAATCATGCAACGAAGTTTCTGTGTCAAACTAGTGAGAGTGGTCGAGACGTCAGCAGCTGTGGTGGCAAAGGAGTCGCAAAGTTCCCCAGATAAGTTTGCGCTGGCCTGAGAACAAGGGAAGACGCTGTCGACAGAAGCAACGCTCTTGCTGGTCGACGGGGCAGAAAGGTCTTGGCTGGCCCGTCGCAAGACGTTCAAACACCAGAGTATGTCGGAGGAGAGAACGCTGGTCGCCTCTGTCAGGGAGGAAGTAGACGAACTGGACTCTGTTGTGCCTCTGCAGAGCTGCACCTGGAGGCGTCGAAACAAGGCCTCAACTGCACGCAGGAAGCTGTTAAGGAAATGGACGGGAGGGGATAAAAATATATCTGATCAGGTTGTCTTCTCTGAAGTTTAATGAATTTCAGTGGGATTGGCCGTCCTTGAGTAGAAATCGAAGGCTACGATACTAGGAAGAATGGCAGGCATTTGGAACGGCCCTGTCACACCTATTACGATTTCCTTTTTATTCCTTTTCTGAATGTGAATATCTGACTAACCAGTTCCTTCTTCTATACTGAGAAAACTGTAGTTCTTGTCAAACGACGCGTATCGTCGACGTCTAATATCACTAATAGGTTGGACGGAGGGGAATGCACATTATGTCGTCTCTGAAACACGAGACCTAACCATAAGGAAAATAAAGCCTACTTGTCTACCTGTCAACAGCGCGGATAGTGGTTGGTTGAACCCCCTCCACCTCCCCCCCCCTCGCCGGCACACATTTGCCAGTGAGTCTTTTTTTCAGACATCGGTTGTTTTAACTATTCCCCAGCATAATCCCTCGTCATATGTACCAACGAAGAACATGGCGTGTTTGCTGTTGTGGCCTGAAGGCCTACTAGGGTTTGAAATCTATCAGATAGTCGACAAAGTACAGAGACAACGCTTCGTTCATAAATCGGGCCAAAACATGGATTCATCAATACAGTCGGAGATGAAGGGTTACTTTGAAATGAAAACATCTGAAACCACCTACCAGGAGAAAACTGAAGCCAGTGCTCATATGGCCAGCAGTAAACAGCTCACGTTGCAGCTACATGCCAATGAACTGAGTAGAGACTAATTCACAGACGAACGGCATTGGTTTCTTGAGATTTTCTGTCATGGTATGAAAATACTCGTCCTCATACTGCTGTGTGTGCGAACGAAAGCCTATGAAAGGCAGACGTTGGGGCGCAACGGCGTCCTTTAGAACCAGTTTGTTCGCTCAAAGATATCTACCGACATTTTGTAGGAAACAAGTAAGAAAAGGGGTTGCATGTTGGGTTCCTTTTTAAACCAAGAAACGCACATTCTGATGGTATATGGAAAGGCCAAGAGGGTGGGGAGGAAACTGTAGGTTGCACGTCGTGCACTCCAGGGCGTGGTTTGATATCGTTAACCCTAATGACAGGTCCAGAAAGCGTTTTTGGAGGCGTGGATCTGTTACTTATTATAGTCTGCCTTAACGAGTGCTCCAATAAGTGAAATTTGCGCAACGTCCCGATAAGATCATATTGTCTGCATAGAAACAGGGGAATGGTTCGAGTCACACACACAGACTTACTTTGGTAGATTCAGGGCTCCTTTCTGACGTAGGGAGTTGGCCTTGAAATAAAAGATAGAGCACTGACAAAAGTAACCAGGTCATTAAATCTAAAAACGGTACGCACATATATAATGGAAATGACTGACTCCAGATCTTAGGAGAAATTGGAGGACAAGAATTGGCAAGTTGTCCACTTGATGACATTCATCCCTACCTATTCAGTTCCATTTTGCATACTTGTTACATCACGAATGACCAAGCGCCCCACTACGGTCGGTCGGTGGCATACAGCAGAGCGACGCGGAGTCAGTTGGTTCATTAGATTCGCAGACCGCGGAGCCAGAAGTGTGCTCGAAGTCGGCTTTCCCCCCATCCAACTGGCACCTCCAGCCGGGCGCCACGACGCCGTGGGTGGGCGTGGAGCTTACTTCGAAGCAGCCTGCCTTTCGGTCTAGACGTCGACTACCCAGCGCGTTCACTGACAGCGTACAGTCCTCGCTGCAAGGTAACCGCTTAGTAAAGGGGTTTGTGTCTGACAAGTAAGCCGTCCCTAAAGAGCACCAGAAGTGAGGGCTTCCAGTTCGGCAAACCGGTCAGTTCCCGAGTCCGATAACGGCACAGTAAAATGGCGAGTATGAGTCAGCACAGATAAGTTATTTATGCTACCGCAGTCCTGTAGATTGGGCATCTACCCGAAGGCTGAGTGCAGGACCGTGGGACCCAGCTTGTACTAGACTGCAAATGTTTGTTTTTTAGATTATGGGCAGTAATTAGGACGTGGAGACCTGGCAGCATAATCTACGGATTTATTGGCGCTAAAACAACAGCCAAAACTGCAGAATTTTATTCGAGTTGCGATTGTTCTGGTCACTGTCGTGCGAGACTTAAACAACAATAGAACGTCGATATCGACGACCAGGGCTTCTTTTATTGTTAGAAAACCCCGAAAATGCGTACGAGGAATGTTCAGTTAGCTAATCTCGGGGAGGGGGACGAAGTGAATAGAACATGGGTAGGGAATGGGAGCATGAGGGACGTAATGCCATAAGTATGTAGCAATAAAGTCGACCAAAAAGATGAGAAAGGGTAGAAGATTCGTTGAAGGAAAGGTGCTCACCACACTTTGGTCGATCAAGTAGTCCAGTAAAGGGGGAGGCACCGACTGGACTTCAAATTGAGTTGATTTCAGGCATTTATCCCTGCCATCGGGGTCTTGATCACAAGCCCTGGCAAACTCCAAATAAACCTGGCTCATCCTCGACCACTCCGCTAAGGGGGCTTCCACGGACCGCCGCAGTGCTAGCAACCTTTTCCATTCGCCTTCCTGGTAGACTGACAGAGCGTTCATGAGAGCGACGTCATCCATCCTAGTGTGGGGAAGTACGAAAAGTTCATTCAGAGTTCGCTGCTAGTTTCCAAATTATTTTCACATCACCTTTCCCCCCTCGAATCGGCCGATGTATAAAGCAAACCATCCGGCCATCTCAGTGCCCAAAAGAGAGGCACAAAAGCATCCCTGAGAATGACAACAGCGAGGATTTTTGCAGAAACTCGATGAGGCTTACGCTGAACCTAGGACTTCGGTTGTGTTGGGTTGCCTGCACAAGATACCATTAGCGGCGATTATGGATTGATTCGTCAGGTGTGCGAGAGCGAAAACCCGGCCTGACTCAGGAGCGTTGCCTGTTCCGACGTCACGCACTGATCTGATATCATGAACCCAGCTACGAAACACTGAGCTGACTAGAATGTGGTCAATCTGACTGGGCAAACGGCCATCGTTTAAATATCAGGTTGGAAGATGTTTGTGGCGGTGACAGAGGCATGCGCTGATAAGTAGCCGGTTCTGGCCGGCAAAGTTCAGCATTCCATCTCCATCGTCGCATCGAGGGACAAGCCCAAAATGCCAAATAGGAGTTGTCTTTACCAGTCCGGTCATTCTAGTTCCTGGCAAAAATCAGCAGATCACAGCGAGGAAGTTCCTCAAGTAACTCTTGGAGGTGAGAGTAGAAGCTCCAGTCATTGCAACCTGACTCTTTTTTCGAAGGATACGGTTGTCCCGTCAATTGGTAACCTTCCACGTCACAGAATGTAGTACGTCGCGATACCTCAGAGATGCTGTAGATTTACTACCGCGAAAAAGGGTCGCGCAAACTCAGCCTTGTTTTCTTACCTCCAATCTTTTACCAGTGGCATGACCGTGTCAGGTCGACCGAGGATATGAAATCGGCCCAACTGATGGACGAAAACAGCCAGTAAGCGTCGCATTCGGAACGAGTATTTGGTTCCAGTTTAGGCTTGAGGAAACAGCACTGCATGTTTTTAGTCTCCTAGTAGTACAAGACAACAGAGAGCCATAACAAAGGGCCCGAAACACAATTTAAAAAGAGACAACAACGTCCGAAAAGAGTGCGTAAAATAAGACAGACGAACCACCCACCCTGATCCCACGTTCTGCGGAGACAAATACTGCAGGCATTCCTTACGACAGGGGGCCTCATGGGCGAGTTCTGCTTGTAGAGATTCCGACTGTGACAGCAAGTAGCTGGAAAAAAATGAAAAAAATAGTGAGAGAGATAGGAGATGGTCTAAGCTACATGACTTGCTAGCGGAAGAACATTCTGGGTGGCGTTAGCAGGCCGCAATAGTTAAAAGTAATCCTGAAACATATAAAAAACAACACCGATCCATCTGGTCGGCGGGGAACTGTTGTGGGTAAAAGCAACTATGTGAGCTAAAAAACCCACCCACCCTAGCATGACTTCTGTTTTCTTCTGCTCTGCATGGATGTCTTCAAATGATCTTAGGAACGAAGATACGTGCTTCTCAGTGAGTGCAAGAAAGTTGTCAGTGTCCAGGTCAGTAACTTTCGGCAGCTCCTCAAGCTTATGTGAAGCGGATGAGAGGTAATTTTAGTAACTTACGTTGTAAATTACTTGCAGCACATACGACGACAACGAAAAAAGAAATTGGTAGATAAGTTTTTCATCTGGAGCGCTCCAAAAGCGAGAGAAATGTCGCGTTAGCTTCAGATTCTACAAGTCACTGGTAAACAGACCAAAGGCGCGAGCGCTCACTCCCGGTAGTTCTTTTAGCCATTTGAATAGTATATTTTTGACTAGTACGTCGACTCTGTGACTATACTGTAATAGAAGAGGCCTTGAAAATTTTGAAAATAGACAATTAGTCCATTACTCAAGGAAGCGAGAAAAGCGTTTCTGATCCAGTCGCCCGAGCAGAAAGGAGACTAAGCGGACGATCGCAATTTTTGGAGGATGTCGCAGTAGACGCCTGCATAATTACGTGAGCAGAAAAGTATGGTTTGGGTACCCTAGTTCCGCGGAATCATTGGGCAGTTGAAAACGTGCAAAGTCAAACCCAAGAAGGCGCAGGTGACACAAAAGGATCTGAGGGCCGACTGGTAGAGGGTCAGGTGCGAGTGTACTGTAGTCCATCGACTTGCACAACGGAGCTGTAAGGAAAAAAGAAAGCAGGCATTATCACTCAATGTACTCAAATCCAGAAAGTGGCAGAGTGAATTAGTACAGAGGGTAAGTTCGCCTGGTTGATCCTAAAGATTAATAATGCGAACCTTTTCTCAAAAAGGAGCCCGCAGCCAAAAAACTCCTTCTTCTAGGCTGTCGATTTTTCGCACCTGCGCGGTAACTCCAGCACAACACCCTTCCTGACTACAAACTGATCCGTTACGCGGGCTACAAAGTGGTGAATAGGAAGTAACGTGCAAAGTTGGTGAGCGTGGCTGCAATGGCTCACAAACAGACTCGAGGGTAGTGATACGTCCTGGCCTTACATAAAACGCTTCCTAACTGTGCGAGTTCCCCAAGTTCCGTCGTCCCCTTAAACTAGCGTTCGCGGTTATTCGAAATTACGGACTATGAGGGACATCGCGCGCATAAGAGCATTTAGTTTGCCAAAATCCTCGCCAACCACAAAGAAGTTCGCTTGTGGTGGTAGTGCGAAAGTAAGAAAGTCTTCACAGTAGACCTTTAGCCTTCGTCAACAGTTGGTCAAAATAAAAGTCTTCACGGGGAAAGGGACGAGACCGAAATATTCGTCATTATGGTAGTAATACCCTGCGCTAGCAGCCTGGCACAATCCTAAAGCCACAAACGTAGATGTTCAGTCCTAAATGTTAAAAAAGTTGCGGGAGACTGTTTCTACCTGGGCTGAAAAGGCGTGGCTGTACACCCAACACCAGAAGATACTGCGGTTATTGCTAATGTAGAAACTAATTCCACAGAGGAAGCCGGGGAATCTCGGTCTAACAAAAGCATCAGATGCAACTGGGACTGCAAAAACTAATGTCCATAAGGCAACGCGAGTCTCCGCAGTGGGATAAAACTAACCATAATAATAAGTCCTCAGAGGGCAGGGAAGCGCTGCTCAGCCAGTTACCGGCAATTTAATAAGTGGATCTCACAACTGTGAGACGATAGTATGTCACATACACGAGTAAGCCTTAATAAACGCACGGTCGGTGTCTGATACAATCCATTAAGGTATGTGGCCGTTAGTTACTGGACTCATGCATTGGGTGAACCCGAAAGTGCACCAAAACCAGCGGGAACGAAAGATCCGCATGGTGTAAGTAAATGGTTGGGGTGGATAGCTTTAGAAGCGGCACTTTGTGGAGAGAGTCGTTTGCCACCACCCATACACACTCGATAATAGAGCACAGTTTCAGTCCAAGTGTAAAATTCTGCACGAATTTGGACTGTCATCCAATTTTGGTAGGATCCACTTCACGTGGAATAACCGCACCTTGTCATATGTATTGCCACAATTCGGACTCGGAAAAAGTGCTTTGAAAGTTCTAATTACTGCTCGATGATGTCAGACGTCACTACTGCGACACACAAAAAACTGTTTGTGACACTTGGTAGTGCAGACGACTATCAGGCAAACACAAGGCCGCATTATGTAGATCTGGAAAGCACCAAATGCCCATGAAAAGCTAAATAAGGGACTGCTCCCACCCAGAACAATGTGCGACGTGTTGGTATCCGGTGGTGTCCGTTCTGTCACCCAACGTATCCATTCGCGTTAATGAATGGCGGTTTTAGCGAGACTGCTTCTAGAACTATATAAAAGTACTTCAGAACAAAGTCATTTAGAAACATGCGGCGGGCTGCCCCTGCCCCTCGGTAATGGATGGGACCTGGAAGCATCATTGTTAGCGTTGACTGGCTAGTGATGTATGCCACCGTCAGTTTCCATACGTGCGTCAGCCATTCGTCAAATGCTATGGTACGACCAACCGTGATGGGAAGCCACTGGTATCCCTAACAACAAAAGTCGCCATTATGCCGGCTTACCCTGGGTACTTTCATTGGCGGAAAAAGGCTTGCACGCAGATTGGTTGAGATATTCACGTGATGGAGTGACTCCTGGGACTGTCTGTCAATGTCGTGACTGCCATTTGTCTGTGAGGGTTCAGTGTTGAATTATGGAGCTGAAATACTGGCCTACGTCTGTGTACACGAAGGCGGCGCGGAAAAAAGGCATGCGCGGCGGCCTGACAGCAAGTGCTATCGACTTTTGTACGCATTGCCGCGCCGCGCGAAAAAAGGACAATTGCCCATGGGCGCAGTCTCATAAAAAGCGGTTTTGACAACAGTGTCAGTTTCAGTAGTTCGAGTGTTTGGCGTGATTTGGCTTTGCGGTGACTTAATCTGTTTACCAGCTTGCTTTTTGTGCTCGTGCTTGTCTAACAGCTTAAATGTTCTAAAGTATCACAGAGGTCTTTTAGGACGCGCATGACGCGAAGTTTAAAAAAAGCATTGAGGAATCTTGTAAAGTGCCAGGAAAGATGGCTTCTCAGTGTCGTGGTCAGCTTTGTCAGTGCTGACGTCAAAACCAAGATCCGAGTGTATACTGGGCAATGATGAGAAGTTCGCAACTCCGCATTAGTTTCAGTGAAGTCAACATGCAAGGCTCCGGCACGTACAGTGCAAACACAGCAAATGTGGCAGTTGTGGATAAAAAGCTGGCCAAGTGTGATAAGGTGCGGTCGTGGTGTGTCCATCCACGTGCAGCAGACCCTTGCCCTTAGACCCAATAACACTTAGAGGGAATGACCACGTGACGCGTAGTTCTAGTGTCGAGAGCAGCAGGCCTTCGACGTCAGGCAAGTAATACTATCTCATTTAATACGAGTACTTTCGAACGTACATGTGCGCTGGTAACGCACTGGGTATAACTGGCATACTGGCTGGTCCTAAGACAAAAGGGGAACCTTGGCCCATCTTAGGTATAATTACTAGACCGATTGTAAGCAGTGTCTGTTGCGCGGCTTTACTACGGTCCGTCGAGGTAATAATGGCAAAACACGCAAGATATGTGAGAGGTCGCAGGAAGTGCCTAACCACTGTTAGTTCCACAGATATGCACGATATACTCCCTAAGCGTCTGTATAAAAACATTTGCAATTGTTTGTTTCTTTAAGACTTGTCATGAAACACGAAGTATGCCGAGAAGTTGATGTACTGTTGTTGTCTGTCCAGGAATTCCCGTGACTCATTTTTACGTTTGGGCACTGCAAGCCAAATGGTATGCTGCCCATATTATTATAAGCATACTCTAAATTTCTGGGCACGGGCTAGTAGACACTTCATTCCCCTTCTAAAGTTATCTGGGTCGCCCAAAAAGCCTTTGCGAAAACCAAGTAGACCGCTATAATAAGCAGTTGGTCGTGTTAATGGAAAACTGTCTAGGGAAGGCTAGGAGAGAAAACCGGGAAATGGCTTCACTTCGCATAACCGTTATGACGGACACTTAGTTTGTGATTTCACGCCGGTCTACTTATACGACCAACAGTAATAATTTATTGTTTATTAGAACTGCAGTGGATGACCGACACGTTCGGGTAAGCAGACAACTGATGTGCATTAATGGTGTGGTACCTAGTGAGGGCGGGCGGTACCATACCAGCTATTCTGTTTTCGTAGACGTTTCCGACGCCTTTTCAAACCGCAAGGCGCCCTTTGAGCTCAAACTATATAAGTTACGCAAGTGCAGCGAGATTTTGAAAACGCCACCTGACAGACGACGTGAAGTTTGTGGGGTTTTAGCAAATTGGGCATAAAATTCTAGTTAAAGTTCTGGTGTGGATGACGGTGTCTCCGTCCACAACAAGCGCGATGTGCTAATACAAAAAGTGTACACTTGCACAAACACAGTAAAAAGATAATTTGAAAATCGCATTATGTCACACAGGGATCTGGTTTATGCAATCCCCCCCGTCCAGCTGGTCTCTCCTAATTGTCAACGGTTCTCTTCAAAAAGCAAAAGTTCGCCAGCAAACGGTAAACATGCGGTTTCTTGCCGACATTCCTGCAGGTTTATTTCTCACACTGAATTGGCGGCACACGCGTCGTCAAAGTTGCAGAAAAATCGGACATCCTGTTAAGGACACGATCCCTTCAAACGTCTTAATGAAGGTTGTCGCTGGGAGAGATTACAAGACAACCAATTTCATTAGTGCGGTGAAAATGGCTTTTGAGGTGACCAGTAACGTCCTTGGTTGTCAGTTAAAATGAGCAGAACAGTGTTCCACATACCAAAGAATAATCTATCAATAAAGAGAACACGTTTGAACTGCTTTTGATCTTAGAAAGGGGAAGGGGCGTAAAAGGATAACGGTATTGGGGCTTAAAACTGTAATTTGCTAGTCGCGTCGTCCTTCGCATTACTAATTGTTTTCGCATTCTTGTTTGCAACCACAGTTATTTTCATGTACACCACCCACCAATAAACCATAATATTAATGACCAGCCAGCAGTACACGTGCATACGCATGACGTCATACATCTGTTAAGATAGTTCGAAAATGTCCTAAATATGGTTTCTTATAGAAAAAGCCATATTTGCAACATTTTCGAATGTTAAATTGGATGGTATGGCCTAGATACGTCACCAGGTTTTGGTGGAGAACGATTACAGAACGGAACTAACTAAACGTTCAGAAGTTCGCGTACAACCCACCACCACACCGAGACGAGCAGCCAGGCTACGCAAGACAAATTGAGAAATCGGCGTCTACAACCGCTCTTGTTATCGGTGTATTAAAACATACTTTGAAGGGTGAAATCCAAGGTTTAATTGCAAACAATTCCTTCTCACTCGCAGACCAAATAACTCATCTATATACGTGGGAAACGTTATTTCCTTAGTGAATCCTAGTGTATGGTTGTACACTTTGGCATCACATATATAAGCCACACCAATTAATGTTGGTATTCGAGAAGGAAACTGACCCTGGTAGAAAATGACGGAAGAGCAAATCAAAGTCAAGATTATTTTCAAAGTTCCGAACCTACCTTCCTCTTGAGATTATGAAGGAACTAGTTGCCTTGTCCTGAGTAAGCCATGCGTCGCCGCTTGTGTCAGCAGAGGGGACGTCAACCATAGCATTATATATTTCTAAAAAGCATGAATACAGAGGATAAACACGGCATTATTAGGTAGGTATTAAAAAGAAAAGTGAGCGCGAGATAGAATAGGTGGCTGTGTTACTAATCAGGCGTCCGAACGGACAAAATAAATCACTGTCTGAGAAGAGCAGATATCCCAAGCGAGCGAAACTGAAGTTTCTATTCATACGTTGTACCAGCCTTTGAAGCCGACGAAGGCAGTCCAAGGGAATCAAATTTCAAGACAACCATAAGCCTCTCTAAGTAGCGTTGAGGGCGGCTTACAACCTAGACATGGAAAGGGCAGCCTGTTGTGCTACCCACATTCCAGATACCATAGGCAAGCGGACTGTTGCTCTTCTGGGGTATGCAATTGCTGTAATTGCCTTACTGCCAGAGGAGTTGTACAGCGGTGAATAGACTGAATGATAGTTGAGGAACTTTCAGTGCTCCCGTTGTCACTACTTATCTGGCTTTATCGTCCCACCCACCCCTTTTACAATACCTGTGGCAGTTTGCGTCTCCTTGCCCCCCGCCTTTGTCACGCTGCCTTCCTGTCCGCCTCACACTCCTTGTCGATACGCTGCTGGGACGCGTTAGGCTTATCCCTAGCCTCGCGAGTGCTCGAAGCCAGTCAACGCTGTCCCCACTCTGATTGGCTGGCGGACGCGGAGACAACGAAAGTCGCACACACGCGCTGGGAACAACACCTCGAAGGCAACAATGATGTTTCTTGAGCAGGGCTATTCACTGTCCGACCTGCAGCACGGCTTCGGACAGAACCGCTAGTGCCTTTCCAGTTTATTGCTCTCGACGGAACAATGGACTCGCGCACTGGACGAGAATGGTAGGGTCGATGTCATCTACACAGACTTTAAGAAAGCGTTCGACAGCGTCCCATACAAACGCCTCATCTACAAACTTTCTGAAATTGGGATCAGACGAAGGCTGCTGACATGGATAACAGAGCTTCTTACCGGGAGATCACAAGACGTGTCCATTGAGGCCTCAAAGTCAACTTCAACCCCCGTCCTAAGTGGTGTACTCCAGGGCTCCGTCATAGGGCCGTTGCTATTCCTGGTTTACATTTACGCCTGCGTCAAAGACCTGGGATGCAGCGCCATATTGTTTGCTGTCGATGTTAAGCTGTGGAGACCCATCAGATCAGACGAAGACAGCTACGCGCTTCAAGACAGCCTCAACCGCCTGAACAGTTGGTCAGCTCGTTGGCTCCTTAATTTTAATGTGGACAAATGTGTTGTGTTGAGGCTCCGCACCAAAGAGAACAGTAAGGAGGACGATTCCTTTCAATACGTCATTGGTGGTCAGCCCCTTTCAAATGTTGCGGAACAGAAAGACCTGGGCGTCCTAATGACCTCGTCGCTGAAACCATCATCACAGTGTCAAAGGGCAGCCAAAAGTGCGATATGGATGTTATTTGCGCTGAGGCGAGGATTTGTGCAGATCGATAAAGAGCTGTTTGGAAAAACCTATGGGGCATTCGTTCGGCCCCACTTAGAGTATGCAGTCCAGGTCTGGCGACCGTGGTTGACGAAAGATTATCAACGACTGGAAAGAGTACAGGCGATGGCTACGAAGATGGACAAGAATATTCATCATCTGCCTTACGAAACCAGGCTGACCGAACTAAATCTGTTTCCTCTAAATTAGAGGCAACTGCGCGACGATCTCACTCAAACATACAGGATTGTCAGAGGCCGTGAGTGTGCCCAAGACTTTGATGAATTCTTCGAAATGGCCGGGACTGACCGCCTGCGTGGATCATACCTTTAAACTGCAGAGGAAGCTGGCTCATTCGCCGCCTTTTAGTTTCGACACGCCCAGAACCTCCCACCCATACGCTATCAGAGAACCTCGATCTGATATAAAACACCGAGGTTGCAGCTGCAAACCTCGAGCCGTCCGGCATAGATGCAGACCTACACCAAAACTTCCCGATAGACTACGTTGATTCCTACTGTCATTTCCGGGATTGTTAATCAGTTCAACCGATATAATCGAGCGCACCCGCAAAGTTCAGCACGCCGTTAACACGGGCGACGTCAAGCCCATTTGGCAGTCCTCATGCCGAATAGCAGTACGGTTCCGCGAAGAGGTAGACAAAAGCATAGATGAACTGCTAAAAGCCAAAATTATACAGTCGCCTTCCTCTCCATGAGCATCACCGATAGCTCCCTCCGTCTCTGTAAAGACTATCGCCGCCTGAACGCCGTCACTGTCAGCTATTCATTCTCACTGCCGCGGTTAGACGACATCCTAGATAGCCTTGGCGGCGCAGCATGGTTCTCGACCATAGGCCTTAAGTCAGGCTATTGGCAGGTTGAGTTAGACCTCAAAGACCGTCAGAAGACCGCGCTTGTCGTACCGCGAGGGCTGTTCGAGTTAAAGACGCTTCCTTTCGGACTATGTAACGCCGTCGCCAATTTTCAACGAATGATGTACCAGGTGTTACGACAGCTTATCTCGCAAAATTGCCTCGTATATCTGAACGACCTCAGCGTATTCGACCCCGATGTGGAGCAACACAACCGCAATTTAAGAGAGGTTTTTGGAAACAACCCGCGATGCCGGCCTGACGTTGGAGCCGGCGAAATGCACATTCCTACGGCCAGAATTATAGTTCCTGGGTCAAAAGATCTCTCCAGGCTGCAAAGCCGCTCTACCGGACCGACTGTAACAGATTCACACCTGGCAGACACACGTCAACCAGACGCAGTTGCGTAGTTTCCTAGGGCTTTCTTCTTACTACCGACGGTTTATCCGTAATTTAGCCCACATTGCCGGCCCACTGCACAAACTGACGGAGAAAGGTAAGGAATTCAAATGGTCATCAGAGCACGAAGAGTCCTTCACTAACCTACTCGCCGCCTTCGTCCCCGCCCCACTCTTAGCTCTCCCAGACCTCAATCATGACGCCCCTCCTTTCATCCTGGACACAGACGTCAGTGGCTTTGTCATTGGGGCAGTATTGTCACAAACAGACTCCCAGGGTGTCGAACATCCCGTCTGTTTTGCTAGTGACACGTTGACGAAGGCTCAGTGGAACTACCACGCACTCCACAGAGAGCTGTTAGCCATAATCACATACATACGGCAGTCCAAACACCTCCTTATTGGGCGCCGTTGCGATGGTTTCAGTCTATTAAGGACCCCATGGATCAGCTCGCTCGTTGGCAAGAATTTATTCAGGATTTTGATTCCGAATGTCGATTCCGGCCTGGTCATTAGCATGGCAACGTAGGCGGCCTTTCCCTACTACCCGATTCCCCGCTCACCGAAACTGAAACTCACACAGCGTGGGTTAAGACCATTACGATGTCAGAAACCACCCGCCACACCTGGGCAGCCGCCCACCGTACTGACTGCGATATCGCCAACATTTACCACCCCTTTACAAACAATCTCAATAAATTCCTGGAAGCCGAAATGAGAGGATCCAGCCAGAACGCAGCATCATTCTATACCAGTGGCCGCACCTCCTGGTAAACAATGACATTTTGCTTCCACGGGATTACGCGCCCAAGCGTCTCCACCCCGTGGTACACGGGTGCCTCATTGAATCCGCACTGGCCGAATTTAAAGCCGAGTTGGGTCATTGCGGGCAGACTCGCACTGAATTGGCCGCACGTGCAAGGTTCTGGTGGCTACAGCTTCGAGCCCTCACCCACCACTTTTGCCAGTCCTGCGATACATGCGCGTCCTTTATATCACCTGTACCAGCACCCGAGCTCTCATGCAACCCATGACCACGTATTTCCCAGGAGAATGCATGGGCTGGACATTATCAGCCACCTCCTGATATCCATACGCGGGTATGAATACATGCTAGTGATGATTGACTACTGCACAAAACGGGTCGAAGCTGTGCCCCGCGTCCGCCAAGACGCCACCTCCGTCACCAACGCCGTCAAAAGGACTTGGGTTTGCCGTTGGGGCGCCCCAAGCCTTCCTCACTGACTGTGGTGGAATTTTTGACTCGTGACCCTTCCAGGAAGTTTGCTGCACCCTGGAAGTCAACAAAACTAGCACAACACCCTACCACCCCGTTGGCAATGGTCTAGTCGAACGAACCAATCGCACCCTCCACAACCTCCTTCTCGCCTTTTGTAAAGACAGTCACGAACATGACAGGGACACACAACAACCCTTCTGCCTTATGGCATACAGAACCTCAACCCACGCATCTACCAGCTTCACACCCCATTATCTCTGGACAGGACGCGAGCTACGATTTCCAGTAGACCTCCAACACCTCTTAGACTTACCTGACCCCACAACAGTTACCACAAACGTCTCACAACGCCGCGAAATAATTCGGACCGCCTATAACGCAGCGCGCGAGACGATCGGCACCTCATATGTCCACCAGAAAACACAGTGCGGCCCCCGCTCGACAGGAGCCACACGCTAAATCGGCGACTTAGTTATGCAACACAACGCGATACCTCCGCGAGGAGTTTCAACCAAATTCCATTACCCGTGGCAAGGCCCATTTGTCGTCTTATATATCGCGTCACCCAAAACCTATCGCTTAGGTGACGCTTCCCAACAAACTTCAACCAACTCAAACCCTTCCGAGGCTCTCTACCCATATGCACACCCGACTCCCTACCCATTATCCCATATGACCAAGTCCCCCGGCAGCAGTCGAAGCCACTATGCCCTCCACCATTATCCCCAGCAGCACTGAGGACAGTGCTGCATCTTCAGAAAGGGGGCTTTGTAACACCCCAGCAGAACTGACGGACAGAAACCCCTTTGTTATAATCGTCATCACTCTTTTGTAGATCAGTCGTGAGGCCTAATTACGCGTGGAACATCATCGACGGCCGTTAATCTTATTAGTCTAACCTTAGACACTGTTCCAACTATCTGCTTCGTTGTACATAAATACTTGCGCAGTTTTACAGTTTCGTTACTCCTCCCCGTTTTCAACAGCTGCGTTTTGCGTATATCCTTGTATCCACCGAGTTCCCAACATTTTCGTTCGTGACAATTTTTCTATCGTTTGTTATCGTTCATTTTTGCCAACCTGGTTATAACATCAACTCCCAGTTATACGTTACCTCTCGCATTCCAATAAACTGCTCGCACTTTTCATCCGTCGTTTAATACTCTCCACTTACTCGTGCGTCTGCATGCGAATGCCTGTGTAATGGATACTTTAGGAACGAACGCTCAAGAACCGGATGATGTACTCAGAATCAGGTGATCCCCAGTCTGTCCCCCCTGAGCACGCAGAGCATTGTTACAAAACATGTGCTAGATCACGCAATATTTTGTTTTGATCTCATACCGCATGCGCTGAAGTGTTATGTGAAAACTGGGTTTCAGATCAATTTCCTTGCACATCCATTTCATCCTTTTTCGGTCCTTGGGTCTTTCGCGATTTAAGCATTCGCGTTTCCGTCATATTATTCCTGACCGCTACGGAGTGTTCTTTTTTCCAGTACCTTCCTGAAGCTCTTTTTTACATGCATCCTCGATTCTATGAGTGTTTTGTTTTACTAAATCGCGATTATAATGGAAAAAGGTCCTTCGGTTGCATTCGCCAGGAGTCTTCGCGCCAGACATTTTCCGATAATTCCTTGAATTGTTTTACACGTCTACGTAAGTAGGTCATTATTAATCGTAAACAGAATGTTGAACGTCGAAAATTTGTTCGATGCTAAACTAATTTTTGTTGGGCAACCTAAATTAAGCGGGTATTTATGAAGGATGAGTACTAGCCTCTGCCTTCACCAACGGCCCTGATCTGCGGTCTTCTACGCGTCTAGAGAACCGATTAACTGGCTGAGAACAGCCTGTGATGGTAACTCAGCCTTGCTGCCACACCCTCGACACTGCTCGGCAGGTTGTGCCTGCAGGGACTACGTGAAATTCGCACGGCTATCCACAGACTAACCTTAAGGGTTAACTCTGGACGGCTGTGGTTTTATCAGTGGCATTTGAGGTTGTAAAGTCACAGGACGGGGTAATATGCGTTTGAATCCAAATTTATCCAAGACTGAGTTCGAGTATGATTGGAATGACCAGCTCGGTCTGTTTTGCCCTTCATCATACATACACATGGAACCTGCGTCCGCATACGCGTCCTGATTCCAGCACGAGATACGGATGATTTATTTCTTGTCGGTGCTCAGACATGCCGTCATCGCACTTGGTCCCATTGCGATGCGTAGTTAGTAATCGAAAAAGCGTTATTGATAAAATACGATGCGTTTATAGCAAACGCGTCCGCATGGAGCCGAAGGTCGTCCGTCTTGTTTCCTGAAATTCGAGTAGATAGATGGACGCCACTTTCATGCAGACCAATATCCCAGATGGCCGTTGACAGCGGTTAACTTACGACTCACTGATAGTGCTTGACCCACTGCTCCATGGTCATAGTTTCGGTTCGAGTCCGGCTCCCCTCGCCCTGGAGCTGCAGAACCGCTGACTGACGAGGGCATAATTTGCCCCGTCCGTGGCTTTCTCGAGACTGGTACCGGCGGACCACTACTTGCATGTGGGATAACCGGTGTGGGTTGTCCTTTTCATGTACATCACCGCTTTTAGTAAAGCCATTATCGGTTTGGTATTAAAAGACAACTGCCCTCGCCTAGGGGGACAGGAAATAGCATGCCCTGCAAAAGAAAGAATCTATGTACTAGTGTAATATGTCTGATTGAGTCAAAGTCAAAGCGCTGGCCTGTAGTCTTCAAGTGCAAAGTTTTGGACGTGTCCCGTCTTCCACCGCGTGCGCTTCCTCATCATTTGCACACCACAGACGGACTCGTTAACTTGCGCGTTTTGTTTCTGGTGCCCATAACCTACACCTTTGCACTGGGCGTTTACAAACTTTTCTAAAGACAACTAACTTTTTGATGTGTAACCTTTTGAAAGCCCTGATGGCTGATTTCTTTCGGCCCAGATAGACCATCCTGACGCTTCACACAACCCATTGGACATAAAATATCCATCCGCCCAGCCTTCTTTGTCGGAGAGTCGTATGGCTTCTGCAGACCTCAGAAAACGACAGGTGAGCAAGCATGTTCCATGTTTCATTTTTAACGCAGTTCTTGCTAGAAGGTTTGTATTTCTTTTCAGTTTATCTTAACCCATTCGATTCTCTTACGCACGTTCCTTTAAGAAACTGTTGTTTTTCACAACCTTACCGGTTTGTACTTTTTTCTCCCTCAAACCCAGCTTCCTCTCTCTGATGGATTAACCATTATGGATTTGGAATTCAGACAAGAAGTCAAAAAGGTAAGCAAGCAGCCTGAAAGTTGCCATTCAAAAATAGAAACCTGGCGAAAACCAATCACCCTTATTCTCTTTTCGATTTGCTGATATTGTTGCCGTCTTTGGCTCGGTGACGCCTCTGAATCGACATCTAGTATTATTATGACGAACAAATTAATCATTGGCCGTAAACATAGAAATCTGGCCCTCGCCGAGACGTCTTCTCCCAGTATGAGGTTTGCCAGGCAATTTGCTGGCATAAAAATCCTTCCTATATCCTTTGGAGAGCGCTTAAATTAGTCTGATTGCGAGGTATTCTTTCAAACTTGGGATATATCAAGTCAACTGATTGTCACCAACTGGGTGATTCATACTTCTCCGCTGGTGACTAGCAAATTTGTCGTTATGCACCTTATTCGTTGATTCTATCATCTAACTGATGTAATGGATGTTTCCCAGGACACATATTTATAAACTGCTAACATGCAGTCAGTAACACACCAATGTTGATCCGTTCACTGTACTCCCAACAGGGGTAATACTTAGGAACTCAGACAGTTTTATCTCTGAAGTTTGTCCCCAAGAATCTATTCCAAGTTCACACATTCACTTCTGAGGAAATTAAAAGACCCAACATTGCTGTATTATTTTTCCAAACAAAGGCCGTTAACTCACTGCATCTATTTCTTTCTACCTGCAGGTTCGCACAGAGGAACCACCATCAAGGGTTTTACATCTACGTGGTTTGCCAGCCGAAATTTCGGAAAAGGAGGTCGCTCAATTTGCAGTCCCCTTTGGTCTCCTCCAAAGTATGCTCCTGACCAAAAACGGCAATGTAAGCTGTTTTAATCCCACGGTTTATGTTTCCGCTAATACGCCTCCTCCATTTCCTCTGCTTGACTTTCTAACTTTCTCTTCCAGGAACATAAGTGGGGTAATTAGCATGTAAGACTTTTTTCTGGAGAGGCTGATTTACTATTAGACGGAGATTTAGTTTTTGTGCGTGTCTTTTAGATTTCGTCTAAAAAACCCTTTGATTATCTTCCTACCTCGTTGGAGAGTTAACTGATGTCCTTTGCATTGAAGACACATACTGTATACGGCCACCTCTGCAAAATGGGGTTTTTGGAGACTGAGACGTCAAGCGCAGCCAGGCCTCGCGGCCGAATGGATTTCACGCATAGCGACTACAGACCCCGAGTTTTTTGCCTTTGCAGCTATGTCTGGCCCTCTTATGCAAACCGCGATTGTTCTACTTTCCACACTATAACTTCGCTGATCCGCTTAGGAATGGCATTAGGCGCGCTATGTGCCAGTTTTGAGCATTTTGATTTTATGGCGGCCCGAACCCTCACGGCTCCATTGGTCGCCCTTTATTATAATTTTTCTCTAATCTTTGTAAACTACCCTTTCCGTTAGCCTTCGTTCTCCTCTTTTGTCCAGTCTGCCGGTCACCAACCTAAAGGACTCCTCCTACTCGGCGTTCCAGGCTTTTATATATAACGATACAAGCAAAGATGCGAATTCCAGGAACTAGTTGATCAGAAGAAGAAGAAGAAGAAGAAGAAGAGATCACTGGAGCAAGGGCTTTATTTGCCTGACGTTTCGGATCCTCACTTGAACCCATCTTTAAGTGAGCTGTCGGCCGGCCGTTTACTAAGATCTTAGTATCACTAGTCTTCGTTGCTCCAGCACTTGCAGTCGGCGACCGACCTCATGAAATGTTGACTAAAAGTTTGAAATACGCGTTCGATTAGGAAGGACTACCTACGTGAAGTTGTTTATATTGGTCATCGTGCATCATTATCCCATTGTATTTCAGTCACGCAAGAATGCCGGCTTGTGGATGTGCTTCATTCCGGACGCTTGCAAAACCGCACTCAGCAGAGACGACCGCTCAAA